CCTGATGCAGGGCTCCATCCCAGGACCCTGGGATCATGACCTGAGCTGAAGGCAGAGGCTTTAACCCACTGAGCCACCCAGACACCCCTCTTTCCAGACTTTTCTATATGAATTTTTTCAAAATGTGGGATTGTACTGGGCACATTGGTTTGTAAAAGTGTGTTATTTCATTTAATCCAACATGTACTTCCAAGATACCGCTTCTTTGCGAACAGGTCAAGTCTACTCCTTGAGAAAAAGCCTCTGGGCTCCCTGACCACCTGCTGTGTGCCAGGCACCACCCTGAGGACTTCCTGTCTTTTACTCCCTCAGCAGCCGGGGAGGTGGAAAACTTCCAGAAGCACTTGTCTGTGGCCATACAAGGTATCAAGGCAGGATGCACATTCAGTGCCGAGGGATCCCACGGTCCCCCGTCTCACTCACCAGGCTGCAGGCTCCCTCTGCAGAAAAAGCGTATATTATAGCCCACACGAGATTCTGCTCCATTTGAAGGGGTTCAGACTTCCTGAAGCCTATCTACAGACCTCACGTTAGACAGGACGGAGGGACCTGGGTTCAAGCCCCAGCCCTCGAATCTCTCAGCTATGTGGCCTTGGACCCATTAGGACACCTCTCTGACCTCAGTTTCTTCATCTGTACCATGGGGACACCTACCCTGCAGGGGTGCAGGAGGGTTACATGAAATGACCCCGGCAACACGCCCAGCCCACACAACTCTCGACAGCCTCTCCTCTCACCCCACAAAGGTGCCCCCCCAAACATCCACTGGGCTGGCGCGGGTGATGGGCTGCTGGGAGGAGCTGGCCTGCCCAGCTCCTGGACTCCTGGCAAGGACCTCAGGCGTAACCCAGGATAGAACAGCAAAGCCCTTTAATGGGTCCCTCCTGATATTACAAAGCCTCTCAAAGCTGGAGAATTTTCCAGATAAGGTGTCCCAAGGCGAGGACAAGAGTCTGGGATGGTGAGTGGAATGACAGGACCGTTGAAAAACCTCATCAGAGCCTGGTTCCCCCACGGGGGGCCCTGGCCACAGAGGCTGGCACTTCCCAGACATACTTTCTCGGCCGGCCCTCTGGGATGCTCCTAACTCTTCCTCCTCCCCTCTCCTGCCTTGGGCAGGGGACCGTTCTCTCCTACGGAAGGTCCTGTCCTCGGTTCTTGGTCTTTGCAGGAAGTCTCCTGTGGCCATCCTGGCTAGAATACTCCACTGTCCCTCCTTGAGCACCTATGTGTGCCAAGCTGCCCAATGCCCTGTCTTCCTGTTGGCTGCTTTCTCCTCCACCAGCTCCAAGATTTGGGTGGGGGCTCCCTGCTGACCTGGGTCATCTCTAGACCCCCGTCAGCTACCACCCTGCCTGCCATAGAGTGTCAATCAATATTTGTTAAATGAATGATCCCCCCCAAAAGTCATATCAAGGACAAAACTCAACCCCAATTTGGTGCCAGAGGAACTACTGGATGGTGGATCCCTAAACCACTGAGAGAAAGGGTCACAGCCTCAGCAGGAGGTTTTCAGCTGGTGCTGGAGGATCCAAGGCCCCTGGAAGCAGCTCCTTAGGATGGAGGATCCCTGGGAAAGAAGGGGCTGTCCCTCTGGGTCATGATGTTCTCTTACAGAGCAGGATTCACGGCCTGATGGCCCTGGGACAGGCCAGCAAATCTCTATGGAGAAAGGAAAACTGAGGCTTGGGAGGTTTGCGCCCAGCTGTAAATGGGTGAAAAGGGTACGAGGGCACTGTAGGATGTGGGACCGGGACTCTCTCTGCTGCCCAAGAGCTGGCTGGGTGGTCTTCAACAATTTGCATCCTCTTTTTTCCTTTTAAATATTTTATTTATTCACTTGACAGAGAGAGAGAGACAGAAAGGATGGGGAGAGAGGCAGAGGGGTAGGGAGAGCAGATGCCCCGCTGAGCAGAGAGCCCGACACAGGGCTCCATCCCAGGACCCCAAGATCATGGCCTGAGCCAGTCAGACACCTAACCCACTGAGTCACCCAGGTGCCCCTATTTTTTTTAAGCTTATTTAAGTAATCTCTACATCCCATGTGGGTCTCCAGCCCAGGACCCAGCGATCAAGAGTGACATTCTCCTCTGATTGAACCGGCCAGGCCCTCCAGCCTCCTTTTTGAGAGCCTCAGCTTCTGGATCTGTAAAATGGGACCATAATCCTCTCTGGGTTGTTCTGAGACCTTTGATTGGTGCTCTGGTGTCTGTGACACCAGGGTGGCCATTTCTGCTGCAAGAGGAGGTCATGAGAATTACAGGAGACAATACAGAGTGGTCAGCCATGGGCCTGGGGGACCCGAACAGGCAGACAGTGGTGCCTGCCACCCTTCTCCTTAGTGTTGTTGTTTTCCTTAGACGTCTCACCTGGGGCTCTTTCCTGGGCTAATAGGAAGCCAAGGCCAGATAGAGGCCCCATTCCTTTTTTTTTTTTTTTTAAAAGATTTTATTTATTTATTTGACAGAGATCACAAGTAGGCAGAGAGGCAGGCGGTGGGGGGTGGGGGGGGAAGCAGGCTCCCCGCTGAGCAGAGAGCCCGATGCAGGACTCCATCCCAGGACCCTGAGATCATGACCTGAGCTAAAGGCTTTAACCCACTGAGCCACCCAGGCACCCCTACAGGCCCCATTCTTATTCAAAAGTTTTTGCCTCCTCCTCAACTATTGGATCAGCCTATTATGTTAGGACCCTTGCAAAGCAAAATATTTTCACCCACCCCTCCCTTGGGGACTTCTGTCCCCCATCTGTCCTGGAACTGTCCTTCCTCATCTGTTCCACTAATGTTTGTTGAACACCTACTATGTGCCTGGGTGCCTTCAGCCTCGAGACCCCTTGGGAAGCATTCTCTGCAGAGAGGTCATGCCTTTTTTGGCCCACGGGACACAGGGTCGTTGTTTCCCTTCTTTGAGGCTCAGGGGATGCACTTGGAGAGGGGCCCCGTCTTACAGCGCTCCGCACTCCTGCCTGTAAGGCAACCCGTGGCTCCCGCGAGGGATGGGATGGCTTTCTGGAGCTTCGAGGAGATGTGACCTGGGGACCCTCAAGGGATTACAAAATCCGAAGGTGTCCGAAGAGCCTTTAGGGAGGGGCCTTGAAGTTTAAAGTCTGCTGGTGTTTACTAAGGATTATCTGTTGGTGGTCACAGATCAGATCTCCTCTGATCCTCCCTACAGCCCTGCAGGGGTGGGGTGGGTCAGCCCATTTTCCTCCAGAACACTGAAGGGAAACTGGGCATCACTGCCAGACACTCCAGAAGTGGGAAGAAGGGATCAGGGGGCCCCAACAGGTAGCAAATGGCAGAACTAGGGGGAGGGGAACTCCCTTGGACCTGCTGTTCCTCCTCCCTCCGAGCCTGCAGGACTTAAGGTAAACAAGCCTTGTTGTTGTGTTCTTGGGAGGGTGGTTACTTTGTAATCCCAGCCTGGCCTCTGCCTTCCTCCGCCTCCGCCAGGCTCCTGCCTCCACCTGCGGATTGTTCCTCCCTCTCCCTAATCCACCCCGGGCCGGGTCCCAGCTACTAGAACCTTTAGGATTCTCCTTACCCCCTGGGGGCTCTGCACCCTCCCCCCCATTTCTCCAGGCCCAGGAACTTCAAGGCAGTGCTGGTGCTGGTGTGGAAGGCCAGGGAATGGGGGTGTGGTGGGTGGTACAGTTGGTAGGGTGGGGTGGGGAGGGTGTGGGATGCTGCTTATGCTGTTTCTACCAAAGCATCACTCAGTGTTCACAGCTGTGAAATAGGCTCAAAAATACCTGATTCCAGGGGTGCCCTGGAGGCTCCGTGGGTGCGCGTCTGCCTTCGGCTCAGGTCGTGATCCCAGGGTCCTGGGATCGAGCCCCACAAGGGTACCTCTGCTTAGCGGGGAGTCAGCTTCTCCCTCTGCCTCTGCAGCTCCCCCTGACCGTGCTCTCTCTCTGTCAAATAAATAAAATCTCAAACAAACAAATCCTAATTCCAGGTGGGGGTCAGGGTCGGGGGGGGGGGGGGGGGGGGGGGGGCAGAAGGAAATGGGGAGGTTTTTTGTTTTGTTTTGTTTTGTTTTGTTTTTTAAATAATCTTTACTCCCAGAGTGGAACTCAGAACTGTGATGGAAGTTTTAGGAGTCACCGGCTCCGACGACTGAGCCAGCAGGGAACCCCAGGAATGAGTTGTTGTTTTGTTTCTTGGATTTTTTTTTTTTAAGATTTTATTTATGTATTTGACAGAGAGAGCAGAAGCAGGGCAAGCAGCAGGCGGAGAGAGAGGGAGAAGCAGTCCCGGCTTCCCGCTCAGCCGGGAGCCCAAGGTGGGGCTGGATCCCAGGACCCTGGAATGAGGATCCCAGCCGAAGGCAGACGCTTAACGAACTGAGCCACCCAGGCGCCCCAGTGGAGAGTTTTTAATGGGTATAGAGTCTGTTTTACAAGATGGAATTGTAGAGATGGGTGGTGGTGAGCACTGCACGCTGTGTATTCAATGCCACTGAACAGTACACTTAAAAACGCTTAATACGGTAAATTGTGTTGTGCGTATTTTACCACAATAAAGAAAATCGAGAGAAACAGAACAAAACCTAACTCCCCAAACGGCTAACGCAGAAAGCATCACTCTTCGAGGGGGGAATTCCCGCTGTCGTTCGGTCCTCTCCCACACTCAGTTTTCTTATCGGTAAAAGGGGCTTGGAAAAAAGCACCGAGACCTCAGCGACCCTTGGAGGGCGAAGGGGACAATCCGTGTCAAGACCCTGGATCATACACCCGGATTCGGCCAACGGGTGTGTCCACTAGGCGCGGGCAGAGTGCACCGCGGGGCGCAGACGGCTGGCACTGCACTTGCCACCGAAGAGCCCGGCCCGGATCCCAAGCCGCGGGGCGGGAGCGGGAACAGCAGTGGTGGCCCCGGGGGCGGGGCGGGCCTGGGGGCGGGCCGGGGGGGGGCGGGCCCGGGCCCGGCGGTTTATAAGCTCGCGCGCCTGCCTCCGCCGCAGACAATACGCCTCCCCGCCCAAGCCCTTCGGCCCTCGCGCCCGCCGCCACCTCCGACGCGAGGTGAGTCCGAGCCCCTGCCGCGGCCCTCACCCCGCTGCCCTGCGCCCGGCCCGCGTCCAGCAGGTGGGCGCTCAGGGTGCTGCCCTGGGTGCCGAGCGGCTGGAAGCTTGGGGACCGGTGCCCAGGATTTTCCGTCCCGGGCAGCTGTTGGGTGTGCCCCTTTCGGGAGACCTTTCGGGACCCCGGCTCCGAAACGCCCGTCGCCCCGGCGAGGTCTGCAGGCCCCCGCCGGCGATGGCAGCAGCCGCGGCCCCCGCGGGCCTCAGTCTGCGCGACCGTGCAATGCCCCGTCGCTCCGCACCGCCCCTCGGCGCGGACTCCCGGGGTCCCACTCCCACGCCCTCGGGGGGTGGCGGCAGGGGGGAGGCCGTGCGGGCAGGGTCGGAGCGCGGGAGCGCCAGCCACTGGCCGCGGCCGCACAGCCGGGTGTCCCCCGAGGCCGGGAAGATGGCGTCGGGCGCTGGTCCCCGTGGGGACCCGGGGCGCCCCGAGTCGCCGCGCACCTGCGGAGGTCCTGAGAGCGCCTTTGTCCGGAATAGGAACTGCGCGCCGAGCGGGGCGCGGCCGCCGCCCCGCACCTGCCCTCGCCCTGCACAGGTGCGCCCCGCGGGCACGTCCGGCCTCGCTTTGCAAACCGGAGCGGCCCGCGCGCGCTCGGCGCTGCAGTGACCGCGGGCGTTCCATGCGGTGACCGGGCGGGGTCCCGCCGCCAGCCCCGCGCGCGGCCGAAGCGACTCGGGGGAGCTCCGGGCTCCGCACGCTCTCGCTCGGAGCCCGGGCCTCCTGGGAGCGAAACCGCTTTGTAAACCGTTAATCGTTACTGTAATTTTCGCCGGCCTGAGCCACTCCGGGGGGCGGGACGCTGTTGTTGCCGCTGCCGCTGTAACCTTTTCCCCGAGCACCCGCGCCGGCCCGGCCCTCGGCCGGCTGTTCTCCCTGAAGCTTCGCTCGGGCTCCCCAGGAAGGGAGCGTTATTGGCGTTGTCCTTCCCGCGGGAGGAGGAGGGCGGGCCGTTGAGCTCTGTGCTGCTCCGAAGCCGGAGGCCTCATTTCACAGGTGGAGAAACTGAGACTTCGTTCCAGGAGGCAGCAGAAAAGGCAGGCAGAGCCGTTTTTCTGGGAGCCCCAACAAAACTCTCCACGCAGCCACCTCCCAGCTGTGTTGTCTTAGATGGGCTACTCCACCTCTGAGCCTCAGTTTGTCCCTTCTGCGGAATGGGTCCATGCGGTTTCCCACCCAAGTGTTGGTGCCTGATCGTGGCTTCCCTTAGAGCGAACACTTTAACCTTATTTCTGATTACCTTGGGCATGCCTTTGGGGTAAATTCTCAGAGTGGCACATTTTAGGTGGTTATGGGTATGGCTTCACACTTTGTTCCCTAAGCAGTCTGAGGCTGCAGCCGGCTGGGCCTTCGCACCTGGCTGCTGGTGCCGCTCTTGTCCACAGCTCTGGCTGTCCTCCACCCTTCCCTTCCCGCTCCAGGATTTGGGGATTTCCCACGCTTTTAAGCTCAAGGTCACGGGGCTGTCAATGATGGCTTTAGCTGTGGTTCCTTCAGCTTTACCGGTGTTAACGTTGTGTATGTTTATTTGTGCTTGTTTTTGGTTTAAAGTGTCTAGAGCATCTGGTGAGACTGGATTTCAGTCTGTGCCTCAGAGCCCTCCCGGGAGGTGGGGGGACCTATTTAATCTTCTAAGATGGCTGCCAGGGGATTATTTATTTATTTATTTATTTTGTGGGAACACTCAGCAAGGATATTTCTCCAAGCACCAGGGGTCCTGTGAGGCCCTTTGTGGGATGGAGTGATACACTTAGCAGCGCCCCCCTGGGTGTCCTCCTTTTTCCCTGTCTCCATTTACTTGCTTGCCTCCTCTGAGAAGTCTTCCCTGATTACCTCATCTAAAGGTGCAGCCTTTCCTCTCTTCCTACTGGTTCCTCTGTGCAAGGACCTTACTGGACCATTTCCAGACGCTAGAGACAGATTGAAATTACCCACTTGTGGTCCCTTAGCGTGACTCTAGCTTGCAGCTCCATGAGAACAGGAGGACCAAGCCCACTCAGTGGAGTATCCCCACCATGGCACGGCCTGGGCACACTGGGAAGAGGCTGGATGGAGGGCCGTGTGCAGGTTAAGTGTCTAAAGTTTTATTAGGGGGTTGGTAGGTATGAAAGCTGGAGTCCCTGAGCTGAAGAGAAACCAGGGAGCAACATGAGCCCATTTGTTCTCTTCTGCTGGGCTGACATGCAGAAGGGGGTGCTTGGGGCCCGGCTCCGTCCGCTGGTTGAGTCTTAAAGCTGACCTGGGAGGTTTTTCCCCTCTCCCTGGAAAGCATCCTGTTTTTAGTGAACCTATGAAGTTTGTAGACAATTAATGGCTTCTTGCTTCCCCTGCCTCGAACATAGTGGATCCCACGAGAGTCTGGCTGTTTTTTTCTCTCTGCTCAGAACAATTCCAAGAGGTTTCAAGGAAGTCCCAGGCACGCTCCGGTTTTGTTGTCGGCAGCCACCGGGAAGCCTGCCGTGGGTCCGGAGTGGACACGTGGAGCCGCTCCCTCGTCTCTTTGTCCTGCCGGGGCCAGGCTCTGGGCGAAAGACCGAGCGTAAGCAAATAAGGTCGTGGCCCCCAGTTCCTCTTTGGCACCTCCCGGCGGGGAGGCCAGGGCTGGTGGTCAGCGGGCCCGCGCTGAGGCGGGCCCAGGGAGGACAGCTGATTTCCCTAGTGTCAATATTAGGGTGTGACAATACGAAACACCCGCAGGGCCTTGCTGGGCCCTGCACGGTAAACCTGTTTTTCTGGAGGAGGGAGAAGACAGCCCATCACCCAGACTGAGAGGAAGTGCCCTCCGGAGCGGGAGCAGCCCCGCTGGGGCTGGGGCTGGGGGAGCATCACTGGGATACAGACATTTAGAACTGAGCACTCTTGCCCCTGCCCCCCCCGCCCCCGTGTTGGCATTTGTGTGTCTGTGGCTTGGAGCTTAGAAGAAGCTAGAGCAAGGTGAGGACGGAAGCTGCCCATTTCCCTGTGTGTGGACGATGACACATCAGGAAAATCCCGGCTCTCACTGAGGTGGTCCGCATAGTATGCGCGTCTCCTGAGCTCCTGGCTCATAGTCCTAGTGAGCGCCTGCTGTGTACCTAGTGAGCGCCCGCTGTGTACCTTATTCCCGCCTCAGCCTCTGCCTCCTCCTCACAGCAACACTTCCTGCTGGCGAGGGTGTGGCGAGGCCAGGGTCTCTGAGCCAGGACTTGGCGGTCCCTGTAGCTCCCTTGTTCTGTTTTCCACTCTACTGTCTGCCCCCTCCCGCCCCGGACTGTCCCCGTGCACTAGGTCCCTGCTCTGAGCTGGGGCAGACAGACAGGTAAACATTTAATGAGACTAAAATGGGCCAAGTGCCCAATCCAGGTTTGTTTACCGAAGGTGCTGGGACGGCGCAGATGAGGAACAATGAATTCTGGGCGGGGAGGGGGTGGGTTTTGGGCCAGGCCTGTGCCAGCCCCTGTACCAGCCTGGGGGAAGCAGGAGGGCGCCAGTAAAGTCAAGTTGAGGGTTCGAAAGGGCCAGGACAAGTCCAGTGGGGGACTAAGGACTTTGTCCCAGGGAGGAAGTGGGAGCCCCCAGAGCTGCTGACTGGAGGGGGTGTCAGGATTCAGTGAGTCATTGAAACTGCTCTGCACAGGGGTGCCTGGGGGGCTCAGTCGAAGTGTCTGCCTTCAGCTCAGGTCGTGACGCTGGGGTCATGGGATGGAGTCCCTGGTCAGGCTCCTTGCTCAGTGGGGAGTCTGCTTCTCCTTCTCCCGCACCCCCTGCTTGTGCTCACTCTCTCTGTCAAATAAAATCTTTAAGAAAGAGGAGGGGGGCAGACTCAAAACTCTGGAATAAAGGACCCCGAGGGCTGCGTCTGTCTCTCTTGGCTCCTCAGAGCTTGGGCCTAGGAGGGCACAAAATTTTACTTAAAATGCTTAAGAACTTTATTATTTTTTTAATTTATTTTTTTAATTATTATTTTTTTTAAGTAATCTCTGTACCCAACTTGGGGCTCAAACTCACAACCCCAGGATCAGGAGTTACGTGCTCTACCGACTGAGCCAGCCAGATGCCCGCAAAACTTCTTCTAAACACATGCTTCTCAAACTTATAAACTGCAGGCCCAAGTAGTATCTTGGCCGCTGTCCTTTCTGCTGGTGATGGCAAAGCAGACAGGCCACTTGGGTCCCCTCTCGGGTGTCAGCTGGTAACCCCTGGGTTTTCCTTGCATTCCCTCCATCCATGTTTTCTGTTCACGTCGTTGTAGCTGTGCATTACAACGCCACAGACCGGGAGGCTTGTAAACTACAGAGTCATGTCTCACAGTTCTGGATGCTGGAAATCCAAGGTCAGGGTGCCGCTGACTTTTGGATCCTTAAGTGGGGGGGACTGGGGACCTGAAGGGAGCTCTCCTGGGCCTCTCACTTGGAAGATCACTAATCCCATTAGGAGAGCCTACAAGGTCTAATCCCTCTCAAAGGCCCCACCTCCTGATACCATCACCCTGGGCTTTAAGAATTTGGGAGTGGACACAAACCTCCAGGCCACGGGAAACTGGTGTAAAGCCACTTTCAGAATCCCCTGTGACCGAGAATTTTTCATCTGTTCTGCTTTCTCTGGTTGTGGGGATCTTTATAGATATGTGAGCAGGAAGGGACCTAAAAAGAAAATCTCCCCAATGTTTGTTTGGCAGACAAGGAATGAGGGGGTTTAGAGGGGCTAGGGAACTTGTCCAGAGCCGAATGGCCACGCTGGACTAGGACGCGGGGGTCCCCCTCTGTAAGTAACGATCAGAAGCGGTGAGCTCTGGACATTTGCATAAATGTCATCCCAGTGGCTCCTCATCTCAGTCCTGTCACTCAGCAGCCAACCAGGACTTCAGCCTGTTGTTGCAGACACACCTGTGGCCAGCCTGCCCCAAGTGTGGATTCGGGGAGGACGAGGGGGTGCTGGTTTGCCTCATTTCCACTAACGAA